ACCTCCCTCCCTCCCCCATGAAGTGACAAAATCAACACGAATATGTGATAAGCAAGTTCACTATGTAAACACACACTACTTTTATAATTTTGAACACTGATGAAATCCAACAATCTACACTTGGTTTTGTTATCTTTACCAATTGACCAACTCGACAACAAAAATTGACCCCAGACTAACGAACGATGATCAACTTAGTAAACTTTATTTTGATATCATAACAGGTGTACTATTACCTTTGTTATGTGGTTTAGCTATCTTCATTGCTATTTTGACTTTCAGTATGTCCCTTTAACTTGACCTAACTTGTCTATTTTGTCACCCCTTAACTCTTTGTTATATATATGCTGAGATTTTGTAAATTCCGGTTTAATAATACTTTGATAAAGCTATTTGCAGCAGCATTAAATAGCGAAACGTCAGTAAAAACAACAATATCGTCCATTGTTTTTCATTCATTGGGAAATACAAAAACCTTTATTATAATGAATATCATTTACCCAATGCCCAATTTTTTCAAACCGTTAAAAGTGAATTTGGTTTGGACATATATAACGTATAATGCATCGTTATCTTAATTTTGATCTCGCATACTTCCAACCCCTTAACTATTTGAATATGACCTGAAAAGCATTCACACCTGTTGTTTTGCATGATTGATTCAATGTAATTTGTTTACTTTTCCGTCATATATCCCGCAATGGAATTCTAATCACTGTATGTAGAGTATTCAACTGAGCATGAGTTCTACTGAAATCTGATGAAACAAACCATTAAATCCTGCTTGATTAACATTTGATTGATTGGAGGATTTCATCAAGAGCTGACTGACATCAGCGTTAGAGAACCATTGGAAAACCAGCTGGGAGTAGTAGTGGACAGCCGACTGTTTCATCAGCCTAGTTTGAGACTCTTCAGCAGGGTTCGAACCCAGGACCTTCTGGTGACAAGGCTAGCGAGCTCGTAGACCATTCATCAGCCACTGGTACCCAAACCGATCCAATGGCCAGCCGCCCATGAATTCAAACTTCTACCAACTCGTGATTGGTGAGGAGAAAACAAAAGTTGTACAGGTAAAGAAAATGAAATCACCGAAAAAAGGGGAACCTCTTCACTGAACCACCTGCCTTGTTTTATCTCTCCACAATGCTTGGATGGCAACTATTTAAAAATATTCTCAGTGAGTGGGAAGTTAACAACACTATTGACCCGTGGTGAAATTTCACCACCCCGAACTTTATAAATTGCATATTGTAAATCTGATCTAAAATGTTGCTGATTCGATCAAGTAGGAAGACAGAAATCCGATGGTTTGGACTGTGTTTCAGCTCTCTGAATTGAGTCAAATCAGATACACCTTTGATGTACACAGTGACAAAAGAGTGAAATGGCTATCCGGTGGTAATCGGATCACTCTGATCTGGCTAGCAAGCAGCTACTGATCGATATGAGTAGTATACAAATATTCATCGTAATTAATCGGAAGTATATATATATTTCCTAGCATGTAGTTCCTCATAATCTCACCTCATAACACCACCAGGGAAACATGAAATGCCATTATATGCTTCAGTCAAGTATTACTTCGAAATTTGATAAAACTAACAGCAGTAATAATACGGAACACAAGATTGATGTTAACGAGGTAGCTTTCAGAGTCATTTACTTAACTTCGCCTTAAGAGTTCGACTACTAAATACTGCTGAGGCTGGTTGTTGGGATCCACATTAAGAAGCTAGTCAGCACGTTGTAAACTTTGTAAATACTTGCGAAACTAGAAAATGGGCCTTTGAAGGATGTTATTAATGAACTTGAATACTATTGTCAGTACATGGATGATGCATTTTGGATTATGAAAAATGATAAAAAAGCAAAGAACATCCTGCCTGGACAAAATTGAACGCGGTTCATCCTGCAATAAATTTTACCATTGAGAAAGAAAGAAAAAGACTCTAGTATTTCATTTCTAGACGTCCTTATGACCAGAAAAGAGGATGGCACAATAAGAAGAAGTGTATATAGAAAACCTACATCAACTGACTGTCAGTATACTCATTTTTCAGCTTCGTGCCCTTGAAATACAAACGCAATCTGATAAAGTGCTTGGTTCACAGAGCAAGAGCAATCTGCTCGGATGAATGTCTTGATGAGGAACTAAATAATATTAAACGGTTGCTGAGTGAAAACGGTTATCCAGAAAAGTCTATTGATAAGAATATGAATCTAAAATCAAAGCATCCCAAGGTACCAATAGTTCCGAAAAAGGAAGGTCTTATTCTTACAAATTAAGTTCCTCGGGGGCAACATCAGTGAGATACTAACACAGCACCTTAGAAATGCGGTAAAGCGAAGGAGCATTCCATGCCGCTGAATTATGCTGTGTCTTCAAAACCACACCTCTCTTGCGTTCGGGAGTAAAAGACAAACTGCCCAATTACGCCTCTTCCATGCGCATCTACCAATTTAACTGCTCCTGTGGAGTGAGCCAATTAGTTGCACAGGCCGCAAAATTAGGCGTGTTTCTCATCGGATTTCCGAACATCATTTTGCATGTTGGTTAAGTAAAGGACAAACAAAATCTATTCGCAGTGCTATTCTATCTCATCTTGTGGATACAGAACACAAGATTGATGTTAACCAGGTGGCTTTCAGAGTCAATTTCACCTTAAGAGTTCGATTACTAAATATTGCTGAGGCTGGCTGTTGGAATCCATATTAACAAGCCTAATTTGTGCGTCCAAAAGAAGTTAGTTCAGACACTGTCCTTACCCCTATGGCCATCCAGGTTTGAATGATCCTCAATTTTTGTGGAATCTTCCTAATTTTAGTTGTTATTATGCTTGCTATTATATTTTTATTATCATTATAACTATAATTTAAGCATCTTTATTCAACTGTAATTCCATTGTGATCTTACTTAACAAATCGATATTATTTAGAAAACACCAATATTGTTAATGACGACTATTCTAGAATATTCTGTGTATATAAACATATGTATATATAATTGTAGAGCCAGAAGAGGAAATTATCGAAACGGATATTTTTTGCTCAATTATTTTGTGTTTTATAGATGTCTGAATGCATAATAATAGTAATAATAATAATATCGTACCACTCACCTTTTTACGTGTTCTTTGTATACGATTAACAAGTTCCCTGGCTAACCGTTCATTTTCTAGCTCAGGATCTGGTGTTGTATCGAGTATCACTAAGAGACCTCTAGCATCCGATGCAGTTTCATACTTTGACAAGCTTTGTTGATTATTATTATTACTAGTAGTAGTATTATTACTGTTCCCAGTAGTCTGTTCTGCTTTACGTTTTGTACCAGTTGCCGATGAACTGGCGTCGCTACCAGTTGTATACACCACTGACAAATCATCACCGGATAATTCATGTCCACAAACAATCAGATGGCCAGTCTGTTTGAAATTTAAAGACGAAAACGAACATGTTATAACAAAAGATACGGTCACTTTAAGCTTGAGTTAAAAAAATGTAACTAATTACAGCGATATATAGTAATAATGAATGCTTTCAATTAGTTGTGTTCTCTGAGCTGGTTCGTGTAATTGCGGAGCTTTCATCGTCCTTCTGGAGAACATCTTAAGCGCAAGTTTTAGCATAAAATGAACTGGGCAAAGTTCAACAATAGCGTCCCAGGAGTGCGAACGCACGAGTGACCTTCAGCCGACCAATCATAAAAATGAGGAATGTTTGCTCAAAAAATGATGTATATTGACAAGAAAATGCTTGAAAACGCATTAAACAGGTTATCTTTCTCTGACATGGTTTAAAAATACGTCCTAGTTGTAAAGAGGAGTATTAGTTGCTAAGTTAGACTAGTTTCTGTACATGTATTCACCAAGATGACTACAGATAAACTGTTTTTGTGAATCGTTTATCTCTTTCATCCTGCTGGCAGTCTTCCAAAAAAGCCCACGGTTGAATTATTATGGTTTCCAGCAAGAGGATAGACGACTGCTTAGCAGGAAAACGTGGATAGTAGAAAATTAAAACAAATGACATCAACTACAAATCTATCCCTACTCGTAACTATAAGCGTAATCCTGACCCTAACACTAAAGCTAACCTTAATCCTAACCCTAATCATAACCCTTTTTCAAACCGTAATGCTAATTATAACCCTGATCCTAAAAATGACCCTGATACTTACCTTAACCCCAATCCTCAACCTAACGAGCTACTAACACATTGTCCAAACAGTACTTAAAAACGTGATCTGGGTGAAATTCGCTATTGTGATAGCTATGGTGAATAGCACTGATAGCTATGATAATGACAGATGCCGTTAGCTAACGACTAGAATGCGTTCAAGGTCATTGGAGCGTTCACATTCCTGGGACGCTATTGTTGAACTTCGCCATTAACTGATTTAAATTCTCAAAAATTGGTTTTGTAGGGATTTTGTTTGATTGGTTGGAGGATTTCATTATGAGCTGATGATCAGTTAGAGAACCATTGAAAAACCACCTGGAAGTACTGGATAGCTGCTTGGTCCTAGTTTGGGAGTCTTCATCAGTACGCGTCCATCGAGGTTCGAATCCAGGACCTTCTGCTTACAAGACTAGCGAGCTCGTAGACCATTCATCAGCCACTGGGACCCAATACAATGTCCTGCCCATGAATTCTAACTCCTGCCAATTCATGACATAACGCTATCACTTCGCAATGTCTCGTTTGTTGAGCTACTGGCCTCATGGCTTCCCACTAGAACCCCAGGTTAACTGCCTGAATAGGGCCAGTCTCCATGGATGATAGAATTGTGTCTCCTGACAGCAGCCATCTTCGTGACCGGTAGTCGATTTACATATATACTGATGATTTTTTATTGACGTGAAATTTGAACTTTCTTCTCACGTGGTGATTTTCTTTTTATTACTTGGTAAATTTGGTCTATGTCCGTTAATTGCTGATTCGCTTTAGTACCAGGCTACTAGGAATTCTCTGACTGCACTTTTGTTGTTTCCGCTGTTTAAAATTTCGCCATCATGCCAATCATCAAGTTGGTGTCCATAATTATCGATATGCATTGATAAGAAACAGAAATAAATACCATGTCTGTTTACAGCTCATTTGTGGTTTTGGATTCTAATTCGAAGGAGACACCCACTTTGTTGGCCGATGTAATGTCAGTTACAGTTCAAACATGCAATTTATTTTGTAAATGGTATTAATTTTATCTTCTTTTTCTGTTGGATGGGTCTTTCGGTTTGTACAATATCGAATAAAGTGATTGTACTGGGTGGCTGATTTGTGTTCTATATCTATTTCCAATGGTTTCAGTATTCTAGCTGTTAATTCACAGATTTTTATAAATGATAGGATGAATTTTCTTGTGTTCTTTGGTGATGGTTGCTTGTTGGTATTATGACTGGAGTCTAAACACTTTTTGATGAAACTGCGCGGATATCCACTCTTTTCGAAGACTGTTATCATTATTATTTCGAGATAATGATTACTTTACACAGAACATGCACAAAGATTAAATGACCAGAGAGATTCTACAAAAGGCACACAACTGTTTTTTTAAAGATTTTGAGGGATTGTCTGAATTTAAGGCGGCATTATTCATGAATCAACTTCACCGGAAAGTGGAAGGCTTTATCGATTTCAAGGGAATTGTCATAACCTATTGACATCATTTAATTGAACATCATCACTCACTGAGAAATGCAGGTACATCCAGCTGACGAGTCCCAAATAGGAAGGAAACGCGCATCCTGGATTCCACTGCTAGTCACCATCCACCAATTAAATACTATTGACATCAGTTTAAAATTTAATCACACTAGGAATCCTAAGGTTATACGGTGACCATCTTATCATTCATCCATTGGGTCGAATGGAAAATCAATTAAACTTGGAAGGTTCTAAACTATATGACAAAACGACTATCCATTTTAGGTCTTCAACACAATATTCATCATTGACAATTCACTTGCAGTAATCAACAACTAATCAGCTTCACTTCATCATAAGATGATTCACTCAAGGGTTGTAAGGTGTTCAAATCCACGGGCTGAAATCCAGTGGGACGTAAATAGCAATTTTTGCCAATGACTGAAGGGTAGTGTGCTCCCCTCGTAGTCTTAAGGTCCTGGGGTTTATTCCCTGATAGGGTCAGGGATGTAAATTGCTGAAGAGACCCGGACTAAAACCAAACAACTGTTTAGTGCTCCTAGCTTTTCAACTGTTTACGAATAAATTCAGTTTGATATCATTAAAACCTTTTCAAAGCAATAGTTGAAAATAGATGTCATAAATTTACAAAAATCTACTACTTTTAAACCGAGAATAAAAGGAAATGGAGACAGTTTAAAGAAATTAGTTGCACATTAACTTTGATATGTTCAATAGAGTGGTATTAAAAAGCCAATACCGGATTAGACTTCTAAAAGAATTGGAAAGAATTTAACGCACACATCAATATCATATAGCTTGGTAATTTATTTGCCATTCCAGTGGAACGCAGGGCTTCAAGATTGAGCTTCGCAGTTTCAGTAGCGACAGTGGTGTTGCTCTTTTTACCGGGCGGGATTGCTAGCCACACACACACCCAAATTTTCTTCTTTGCCAGGTTTATCACCGGGCGGCTAAGAGAGATCTATGAGTGCCTCGGCCGGGAATCGAAGCCGGACGACGGCAGGAGTACTTGCAGAGTATTCTATCACGGAACCATCAACGCATGATAATTAAAGAAAGTTAAATTGATTGATACAAGTTCTTGAACTTATTATCAGCAAGAGAGTCAGTATTCTCTGACATACTCCAACTTCAGATATGATGGAGAAGATTTGTAGCTCAGGTGATTGGTTTTTATGTAGTTGTGTTCTCTGACCTAGCTGGATGGTTTATTTGCGACAACATTTTCAACGCATATTTCAGTCTGTTGAAGTGAGCTTCATAGATTTGCCCACGAGTTTGTAAGTCATCTCTCCAGGTGGGTGACCTTGAACGTGGTGGGCTGTTTTTGTGTGTTTTCACACTCTCCAGGCTACTCTCATTGGAGCTGATTGTTTCCTTGACCTGGAGTTTGAGCCTTAGTGTGTGAGATTTCCCTCTCATAGATTGGTAAACCTTGTCTATGTGTCAATGAGTCAATTAATTGCCAACTCACTTGAGTACCAAGCTTATAAAAATTCTCTAGCATTCTTAGTGTTTCCTCTGTCTTATATTTGAACACTGGTTGTCCCAGTCGAATTGATGTCCATGGTTGTCTGTACGCAGTCAAACGATATGAGGGAGTGGATATCATGTTGTCTTTTGACGGCTAGTTTATGTTCATGGATACGAAGACGATGAGGAAGGTATGTCCACTTTGGCCAATGTAGTGATTTTTGCAGTTTTTACAATTTATTTTGTAGATGATGTTGGTTTTATCTTCTTTCGCTGTTGAGTCTTTTAGTTGACACAGAGCTGAATGAAGTGATTTTGTTGGTTTGTGTGCAACATCAACTCCTAAAGGTTTGAAGAGTCTTGTAGTGATTTCTGAGATGTCCTTTATATATGGTAGGGAGATTTTCTTTGTGTTTTCCTCGAGGGCCTTTGATTTGGTAGGTTGGATTGGGGGTATATGTCATTTCATGAAGTTCCATGGATATCCATTCTTTTGGAAGACGTCCATGAGATATCTCTCTTCAATTTTCCTTTAGGTGGTAGTGCTGCAATGAGTCCTGACTGGCCCTCTTGAATAGCGTTTGTATACAACTTTTCTGGTGTGTGTTATTGGATTGTTGCTGTTGTAATTGAGTATTTGGTCTGTGTGAGTTGATTTTCTATAAACTTGAGTTTCTAATTCTCCTGTGGTTGTTCGCTTGACTAAGACGTCCAAAAATGGGATTTCGTCCTCGGATTTCTCTTCTCTTGTGAATTTGATATCGTTGAAGACGTTGTTTATCAAGTTGTGAGTTTTATGCAACTCGTTTCTTTTGATTACTACAAATGTGTTATCCACGTAGCGTATCCAAATTTTGGATTTTATTTTGGTAGGATTATGTTTTCGAGTCTTTTTGCATCACTGCTTCCGCAAATAAACCTGATATGGGTGATCCCATGGATGTTCCTTTGACTTCTTCATATATGAGAAAATACAAGAACAAATCCTAACCTTGATGAACTCAACAACCAATCACAGCAGACTTAGCGTGGGCGGACACGATTCGCATATATATAACCGGACTGTTTAAGAAACAGCAACAAAGAGATGACAGAATAACCTTCATCAGGAAAACAACCAATCAGAAGACGTCGCTTCTCTGCTAACAATAACGCTAATAATAGTGTACATAAAAATCTATAAATATCTGTTGATTTCCCCAACAAACGATCTGTTGGTCTGGGCCTTGTCTTCTGTCGTTACAGTAGTACATTGGTAGGTATAAGTTTATGCATTCCATCCAACTTGCGTGTTGATTGCTGTGTGAAGTGTTCACACCGGTATAAAATCAGTCTAGTGCAAGAGGAAAATTCTCCCCTGGATAATTGACTTGCTTCTATTGAATTACTTATTTAATATATTAAACAAAATGACAAAAACACTCACTTGAACAAACTTTTCCAATTCTTCAGTTGACATTTCTTTCACTGCATTTACAACAGCTTTGTAATCGTTCTTAAGGCGTACACCCAGTGTTTTATGATTCAATACACCACGCAATTGAACACCATAACGATGTTTATCACTTGTTGTGGTTAACAGGCGAACATTCAATTCCTTGATAGGATATATGAAGAAGAAAAAATCAAATCAAAATGACGGATAATCATCACAGAATTATGAAGTCCAGGCAGGCATAAGATGCATAAACGAGATTCATTAGCAAGGTACTCTGTTCTATGGTGGCTAATAGCGTTGCTGACAATGGGATTACTATTCTGTCCAGGACTCGTCATCTGGGTGTGCCTGTATACACATAGTGGGTGACAATAGTGTTCCTAATGTGACTTAAATAGAGTATCCGACTTCCAGTCACTCTCTCTTTCTCCCTCTCTGAATTTCTTGTGAATTGATTTGATTTGACATTTCCCTGCTGGTCATTACCAATCAAAGAATCCCCATCCCCGTATTAGTTTGTATTTTTACCCGTGTCGTTTCATAACAAGCTCTAAACTGTTGCCAGTATTAAGGCCGGGAGAGGGATAGAGCATATTTCAATGCAAGTAGAGTCAGTCACTGTAAACAGCACCTTCCCCATTCTCTGTCCGGATTTTTTTCTTTATTTTAATAACCGAAGCAGATCGTATCCCTTGGCATCTCCCCGAGGCTATGAAATCAGGAACATCTTATTAGGACTCTTGCGCATCGGAGACATCCTAACATGTCTCGTGGAAACGAGATCCCACCTCCAATCCACGATTCACACAACCTCGCTTCATCATATACCTTGGCGGACAGCGTATGCCCTTACGACTGTCCTATTAGGGTCGCCAAGGTCTTGTGACCCATACTGGCCGTCATTCAGTCCACAAACATACTACGGCCTCCAGCCTCTATCACTACATCTACTCTGCCTGTCCGGGACCCCGCACCCGCATACAGCCAAGAAACAGACAGAATATGGACAAGAGGTCAGATCGTATGATTCCACAAGACTGGTCTTCACCAATCAAAGTAACCCCCACATGTTAACCTTAAGGCAACGTCGGAGAGTCCGTATTAACAGCCAGTGATATGTAACTAGACAGAGAATGTTTCAGTCGAATAAAATTATTCAACAGGAAATTCAAAAATAATAGTCATAATAATTTCAACAAATGATTAGGCTATTTGTCTCGTGACACCACCAAGATAACTAACTGACTAATGTTTATTACGTATCACGCTGTGGAACTGTCGCTCATCGATCCAGGTAGGTCACTTGTTCGGATCCCGCTCCAAGTACTGGGGTTTGTGCAGCCAGACAGTATGATTAACCTTCACACACTATACCGCATTGCCTAATTGCATGAATATATACGTAGTTGTTGAGCAACCTGAATACCTGATATATTATACTAGCATAAAACAACTACACAGGATAAATAGTAATACAAATATACTGGCAGACTGACTGGTTTCAACGTACAACTTTGCACCCATGTGCAGCAGTTCGAGTTGTCACACTCCTCGACATAGCACACAAAGCAAGAGAAGAGAGTAAAGAGAGATAATAAACAGAGAATATGGAAGAACAATAGAATTTTTATTGAATATGACAAATCACAAAGAGTGAATGCATCTCTGTCAGGCATCGAGAACGATTTTCAGCCATATCACCGATAATTGTCTCCAGCCGTCATTGGATTTACCATCCCGAGAACCCCAAACAGGAAGGAAGTCTACATCCCCATATGTGGTTTAAACTAACTGTTATGGATTTCACTGATTGATGAAGCCATGTTTTCGTCTGACCACCACTATCTCTTTTCCAACCTGATCCATCATCCTGTGTCAGCTAACAGTTTCCGTTGTCCTAACCATCTCTCTCAACCGGTGGAACTTCACGACCTCGTCGATTGATTTCCCCTCCCATCTACCAAGCACTCGACCGATGCCTAACCTCAATATTGCTTACTCTATTATACCACCAAACATGGGACATAGAACGCAGGCACCTATAATCAAAGGCAACTCGCCAGCCTTTTCATTTCTCCCACTTTCAATGGCTACGTCTCGCTTACAGGCATATAGGAGAACGGAGAGAACTGTTGAGCAGTACAGCTAGCCAGCTTGATATAACATCCACGCCAGAGATGGTGTAACTTGGCAAATGTTAAACGAGTATTCTGTATCCATGCTGACAGTTCGTCAGCGACCAATCCACTGGCGTTGGCTGACGTAACTTCCCAAATAAGTGAAGTGATCAACACGCCTTACGACTTCACTCCTGTCTATCTTTAAGTGAGGGATCGATGTATTCTAATCCAGTCCAATCCTGTAGCCTCATCATCGTACATTTGACAAAGGGAGGGAACCACATGTCAATTATTCGCAGATTACTGCTTTCTCAAGGTGTGCAGAAGACTCTGCTTCATTTTCTCAGCGTCTTCACCTAGGAGGACTATATCATCAAGGAGATTATTCCCTGGTAAAAAGTCAATCACTGAGTCGCTGAAGTCAGTAAGGGTTAAGTCCATTAGTACGTCTATGATTCACCGTTTCTATAGGCTGTTAATATCATATGGGTTGTGAGTAACCATAGTGGTTGGGAAAGTGGTTTATCATTCCACTGGCACCATAAATTCAGTCATCAAAGTCGCCCCCTCCCCTGAGGCAGGCACAATGGCCCTACCAGTTGTTTCGATTGCTATCTGAGTTTTATTTGCTTGAGCACAGCACCTGGGACACTTCCTTCATGAATCAGGCCACCAGTCAAACTTACTGACTGCGAACTGATGATGACACTGCCAAGTTCCTCAGGTTAGGCGTCGAGTGCTAGGTAAGGCGGGGAAATCAATAGACGAGACTGTGAAATTACATCGACTGAGATGGTTAGGACACGTGCTACGTATGCCTAGTCATCGTCTTCCTCGACCGACAGGCAATGTTAGCTGATATAGGGTCAGGCTGGAAAAGAGCTAGCGGTGGTCAAACAAAAACATGGCTTCACCAGTCAATGAAATCCACAACAGTTAGTCTAAGCCACGTAGGAAGGTGTAGGCTTCCTGGTTGGGGTCCTCGGGACGGTAAAAACCAATGTCGGCTGTAGAAAATTGGTGACATGGCTCAAAATCGTTCTCAATGGCGGGTGCAGATGCATCCACTCCTTGTGACTTATGATTTCCGATGAAACTGTTCGTTCTTCGTTATTACTATTCCTTTGTCTCACACCTCTGTTTACTGTCTATCTTATGCATTTCTCCTACTTTCTTCTCTTGCTTTGTGTGCTGCATGAAGGGAGTGTGGCGACTTGAACTGCCGCACATCAGTGCAAAGTTCTATGTCGAAAACCGACCGACCGACCGAAGTTCCTCAGGCGGAAGCAAATGAGGCCGGACTCGAACCCGATATGTACTGGATCAAAGTAGAGCCCTTAAATCTCTCCAGCAATTTAACCTAAAGCTGACATGACTGTTGTAGACACTGAAATAACAGGTAAATATTAGCCAATCAGCTCAAAAGACAACACTTACTTCAATAATATAAGTTTGTGCAGACTTCACAAGTTTTAAAACACCTGGATCAGAATGAATAACTATCGCTTCACGTAATGGTGCTTTCAGCGGGAGATTACATCGGGTACGTATGATACGACCTAGCTCAACAGTTGATTGCATCCAGGAGACAATTTCTTCAATTTCCTTTGAGATTAATTCAACTTTTGGTTCAGGTGCTTGTAGATAGTGGACTGAGTCTGGAGCACCAGTTTCAGGTGAGTAACCAGGTAAAAGAGAAGCACGATCTGAAAAGAAAAGAAAAACAGTAACAATAATAGAACAAGGCGGATGAATTGCTAGTTTCTCTTTTATACAAAACGTAGAAAGAATGCATCCCTTAAATATTAGCATATATGAGTATTATTCTGCATTGGTGGCACAGCATTAGAATGCTCAACAACCACACAGGTAATTCAGAGTTCGATCCCCGGCCACAGACACACTCCTTTACTTCGCTAAACCGGTAAAGAGGGAAGGTTGGGGATGAGACTAGCTAGCGACCCCACCCCGTAAAAAATAAAACACCACTGCTACCGAAACTTCAAGCCTCTCTAGCTTGAAGCCGTATGTTCCACTGAGGACGTAAAGGAATAAATTCTTCCCTTGGGTTCTGAATGAAAGAATATGGGGTTTCAGAAGCACATCTCCACTTTACTCTCTGTCCTCTATACATTGATTTTCAGCTGGCCTCACGACTGCCTTTAACTAGCAGAAATTGCAGTTCAGTAGTCATACTTATTTTTGAGCCTTAGACAGAGTTAGCCAATAACTACTGCATAAGGGGAGAAAGTATACAGGGCTTGCGAGGCCTGAGGGAGTTCCAGTCTGAATAGGTCTCTAAATTTAGCTGAATATAGTCTGTTTATCTAATCATGTCCGAGGGTTCAATGATGACTGCCTAGTTTATTGTTTATTTGGTGGTTTATTTAAATCACTGAGCTACCTAAATTTTCTATTCAGATAAATGTCGGGTGAGAAGTAGATAAATGTAAACTTTGTATTAGTAAAATCTCAGCGAAATTGGAGTGAGTAATTCCACAGTTTCGATCAGCGAACTGGTGGCAAGAACCTCTTCAGGGAAATTAATCAAAATTAAAATAGCAAAGGTATATATATATATATCATATTCAATTATCTATGACCATGAACTTTAGTTGAACGTAATCACTAAAAGTCTGATGCAAAAGTACAGTACACTTGAGGTCAATCGGTAGTTGGTGACTAGCGGTGGAATCCAGGATGCGCATTTCATCCTATTCGAGACTCGTAAGCTGGCTCTCGTGACTCAGGTGGTCTAGTGGATAACGCTTTGGCGTTTGAAACTGTGAGCACTGGGTTCGAGCCTCGGTGGGAACTTAATCACTGACTCACTGGGGGATGCAGGTACATCCAGCTGGCAGAAAAGTCCCAAATAGGACGAAATGAGTATCCTGGATTCTACCGCTAGTCGCTACCTACCAACTGACTTCAAGTTACACCATCAGACGTCGTCAAAGCATCTGCACAAGCAGCCAACAAGTTAGTCTGAGACCGAGCACTTCGGTCCAATCAGTCGACGGTAAACCCTAAACTGAATTAAATAAGCACAGTACACTGTGTGTAGCGTTTAAAAAAAAAGTAGACTAATAATTATAAGTCTGTAGTCAGATTTGATCACAGTTTATGGAATTTTGTTTATTGTATTTTGACGTCTATTCACAATTCAGACATGATTGGCCAAGGTTTTGAAAGACAAGATGTGTCCCTTTAATATGTATGCCTTTGTTATTTTAATTTTGATTAATTTCCCTGAAGACGTTAGGGCGAGCAGTTTGCCGATCGAAACGTTGGCATTATTTGCTTTAGTTTTGCTGAGATTTTACAAATATAGTTTTCGCATAAATGTACTCTGTTCACTCCTACCCCATTACATATTGTTTTTACCATACAATTATGTCTAAGAATTGCAAAGTACACTCAGGCACAGTTTCAGATACGTCTCAAGCTTTCGCGACTGATATTGAGGAAAATCCTTGAGGATTATAAGAGCACGCTTCTGATAAAACGATACTGTAGCATATGCTACTGAAAAAATCCATCAGTAGTATACACGCAAAGAGATATTCATCGGCATAAAAATATCAAATAGCAAGGAGATAGATTCGATGTCAGAGAAAGCAAATGATACAGCGTTGAGGAGATACATGGAAGACGTGAAAGGAACACAATATGAAGGCGAGAAGTAGCACAAAACGGAAGATCTGTGCAACTGGTGCGTTGAAGATAAGCTGTACATAATTTGGCTATATAGAGATGATACCAAATTGCAATTAAGCATTCCTTTACAAAATCTGTCGTCTTCTAATGTTGGAATATCCCTCAACTGTTGATATATTATCGTTTGTTATATCGTAACGACAGAAGACAAGGCCAGCCAGGCAACAGATCGTTTATTGAGAAAATCAACAGATATTTATAGATTTTTATGCACATTATTATTAGCGTTATCGTTAGCAGAGAAGCAACGTCTTCTGATTGATTGTTTTCTTCCTAGTGCTTATGACCGTTTCTCAGAAATTTAAGCCATATACATGCGAATCGTGTTTGCACACGTTGAGTCTGCTGTGATTGGTTGATGAGCTCCTTAAGGTGAAGCTTTGTTGTTTTTCTCATGACCCCGATTCGGGACGTAAACAGTGACGTTAAAATTGCTGTCTACAAGTTTTGGCTTGCAGCCAGCTCTCACCACAATATTACTTGAAGATTCTGCACAAGGAGTAAATACCTTACAATAGGAAACCTGATGAAGAGGCTGCAATGTGTATAAACGCATTTTTTTCATAATTAAGCTTTACTACTAAATTGCAAACTTAAAGTGGTTGATTCGCAAACAGTAAAAACGTCGCCGATACTACACCATCTCACACACCAAACAGATAAGCAGTCAAGTAATCGCTTTTCCAGTGGTCATAGTCTGAAGGTGAGCGCTTATGATAAGAAGTGGTTGATGGAGTTCCTAGGAGGATAAACTATACAACCGCACCAAACAGTAACTGTGATTGTACTACGGTACGGCGAAAAAAAAAGAATGATTTCGCCAACTAGCTTTGTGTGAGTGAAATGACAATAATTGGAAAGTGCATATAACCAATGGGTTGTTCATCAATACGTCACAGAAAAGTATTTTTTACTAACGAGTAATATTACTTAGAGAGAGTTGTTAGAAGGTAGCGAGTAATGTTGGAAAAAGTGTTCTCCCCAACAATCTGCATCTTCCAACATTATCGTAGGGACACGCGGTTTCCCGTTTCACGTTAGGTGGCATAATAAGCTAAGTAATGTTGACGTTAGGCGTAGAGTGTTGGGCAAAGAGGGAAAATCAATCGAAGAGGCTATAAAGTTACATAGATTGAGATGGCTAGGTCACGTGCTGCGCATGCCTAACCATCGCCTCCCCCGACGGACGAGCATTACTAGCTGATATAGTGGTGCAGGTTGGAAAAGAGTAAGTAGTGGCCAAACAAAAACATGGCCTCATCAATCCATGAAATCCCTGACAGTTACACTGAGTCAGGTAGGGAGATGCAGACTTCCGGGTTGGGGCCCGCCCTCGGGACTCTAAGAATCAATGGCTGGAGACAATAGGTGACATGGCTCAAAATCGTTGTCAATGGCTTACGCAGATGTATTCAGTCTCTGTAATCTTTCATATTCCTTTCTACCATTACTCATTCTGTTTCACTCTTATACTTGTCAAAACTCTATTGATTCTCTTCATTCATTTTCCTGTCTACCTTTGTGTGCTATTTGGAACGTGGCAACTCGAACTGCTACACTTCGGTGCCAAGTTCTATGTTGAATCCAGACAGACAGACACGCGGTTCACTGACCAAAGCATTCGGTTTTAAAATCAGACGGTCTTGGGTTCGAATTACACTTCACCTACTTGCCGTATGACGCTACTGACGGCGCTACGAATTTATATTCTACAACAATCTTGAGGAACAGAATGATGGATTAAAAGTTACAAACAGGGGAGAAGTGACATATTCTTGTAAAAAAACAACATGGGAAGCATGAAAAGATGCGGAATACGAAGAATTATTTCTGTATTTTGACAACACTGCATATCACTGGATGAATAGGCATTGTTTGCTAACAAATACCGTTGCATAGTCTACCGTTACATTTGGTGTCGCTTCTTCCTACCATGTGAAGGGAACCCGGTGGCCTGAAGCTTCCAAAGAGAGGGAGATATGCGGGGCTTCCTGTGAAAGTTCGAAGACGTTGTTGAATTGGTAGGCATCCATGGGATCAGACGGCGAGGACTGTTTTGCTGAGGAAGCAACTGAAAAGTCGGGCGAAAGCCACCTACACAATTTGACTGACATATACTGTTGCGCGTCCTACCGTTACAGTACAACCCCATATCAGCACTTACAGAATAGGGTGTCTCACTGATGTGATCTGGTAGGTAGGTATGTGGTAAATCTGATCGTGGTAGACGGGTTCAGACGAGAAACTAGAACATCATTATCATCCCCATCATCGCTAAAAAATAGGCTTGAAACCCTGAAGCAGACTAACGCGCTCGTGTAAGTATGCTTCATCTGACTCATTTCGAACACTATAAGAAAGAGAAAAAATTATAATAATATCGCAGGAAATAAGACCAATGGTTTTCTAACTAACTAATATCATTCCGTGATCAACTCGTAAAAATATATTTAAAAAAGCCAAAAATTTGACTAACCTTTCAGATTGTCAGTATAATCTAGATAACCTTTCAGATACTGGTAAATAAACTCTGTCATAAATGGTGTAAACGGTGACATTAAACAGGTCATTTGATACAGTACTTTCAGTAGGGTGTGTAAAGCAGCCTTCCAATCATTTTGATCTTCAACAGCATCTCCCTGTTAAGGAGAAAAAAGACACACATAGTAAAACGCATATGATAATAACCCTAGGAAACAACAATAATAATAATAAAATCAAGAGTGGGTTTGCAGGGATTTGATTGATTGATTGATTGGTTTCAAGACTTCATCATGAATTGACACACCAAGCAAATCCTTGTAAACCAACTCTTGAATATCAATGAGATGCTCACTAGTGACTGATCCTATTTAAAAAAAGGGGTAGTTACCTGGGTTCTAGTGGGAAGTTGTGACTAGTGTGGCGTACAACAGCAGTAGGTCAGGTGTGAGGAGAAATCCTCGCCAGCGATGACATTCGCTGGTGGTCGGTCGTGCCACATCATGAGTTGGTAGAAGCTGGAATTCATGGAGTGGCTATTGGATCGGGTAGCAATGGCTTAAAGATCTACGAGCTCACTAACCTTGTAACCAAAGGTCCTGGGTTTGAACTCCTGATGAAGAGCCCCAAACTAGGCTGATGAAACAGCTGGCTGTCCAGGACTCCAAGATTTTCCAATGGTGCTCTGATCGCTGTCAGTTCATGACGAAATCATGAATCTGTTAACAATATTTATTAACTTACAAAGGAACACCAAGTTTTAGTCATGATGGAGACGACTTGCAACTCAAGCGGATGATTTTGGTGTAGGTGTGTTCTCTGAGCTAGCTGGATGGTTTATCTGTGAAGCTTTCGTTGCCTTAGTAGGCAACATCCTCAGCGAATACTTCAATTTGTTGAAGTGAGCTTTTAAATTTCTCCACGAGTTTATTACTCATCTCTCCTGGTGGTAACCTTGAGCGTAATTGGTTGTTTTTTGTGTGTTTTCTTACCCTCTGGTGTCTACTTCTATTAATATTGATTGCTTCCTTGACTTTTTTGTTCATATCAACCAAAAGACTAAACAGTGAAAGAAGATAAAGCCAACATCATCTACGAAATAAATTGTAACAACTGCGAAAAACACTACATTGGCCAAAGTGGACGCTCCTCATCGTCTTCGTATCCATGAACATGAACTAGACAACATGATATCCACTTGCACACTCATATCACTGCATACAGACAACCATGGACATCAATTCAACTGGAACGACGTTCAAATATTAGACAGAGGAAACATCAAGGAAACAATCAATATCGACAGAAGCAGACACTAGAGGGTCAAAACATACAGGAAAACAACCGCGTTCAAGGTTGTCACCAGGAGAGATGACTAATAAACTCGTGGAGAAATCTGAAAAGCTCACTTCAACAAATTGAAGTATGCACTGAGGATGTTGCCTAGTTGGGGGTAACAAAAGCTTCGCAGGTAAACCATTCAGCTAGCTAGCTCAGAAAACACACCTACACCAAAAAAGTAACACCAAATGTCTGAAAGTTGAAAATTCCGCCACCTGTATTATTCATTAAAAACCCTAACAGATGAAGTATATTTCCAGTTCTTCTTCTATTTGCTTGGAAATGAAATGTCTAATCCAATCAGTAGTCACACACACAATGACACCGATGATAATTTCAATGAGTAAAAAATTCAATCCACCCTTGGTAAAACAACAACTTTCTGAATTATTATTATTATTAATATTAAGCAAATGTAATTGAACCTCTTCTACATACGCTAGAACCTTTTGGTGCTGTGTAGGTGAATGCAATCACCGAAATTAGATTCTGCATACACAATGTGATAAGCGTCGACTCCTCCATTGACTATCAGCTTTCATCTTTTCACCTCTCACACATGATATCATCAATGTCACTCTCGGGTTCTATCTA